GAAAAGACAAGTGGTTTACTACTAGTGTTGCAATCTTTGGGTTTTGGTTTTTTCTTCTGGTTTTTTTTTTGGTTTTTTTTGTCTACTACTTAGCAAAAATTTGCAGTAAAAGGCAGCTAGGAAGAGCTGATCTATCAATGTTATTACGTTTATGTAGTGTACCAAGGGTCTGCACCTCTATTGGAATGTATCCAGGGAATAGCTAATTGGAAAGCAGTTGAAAAATCAGTCACCAAATAATACTTGTTTTTTATGGGAGCTGTTATTTAAGCTTACCCTTGAAGTCTTGCAGTAGTAATTCTTTTGGCTGTGCTTTTTTTACACCAACGCTACTTTTTAGCATTAGTAATAGTGTTATTCGTATGCAAAAGTGATCTGAAAGCTGTACTTGTAGAGCAAAATCTATTAAATAATATACAGATCTTGTTCCCACACAAGAAAAGAGCCTAGATGTGAAGTGCAGTCCAGGCAGAAAAAAAAAAAAAGGTTGAATATTGCAAATTCTGAAAAGGTGAATCACTTTAAGCTTCTTTGATTATTAATTTATTATTTATTTTCATGAGTTTTCATCCTGATACCTTCAAGGTGGGTAAAGGTGTCCCTACAAGTAAGCTGTGTTAAAGTGAGTCTCTATTTGCAGTAGCTCTTGAGCTTTTGGTTACACTGGGCATCTAAAAGCACATGTGAAAAATCCTGCCTTTGACAGTTCCAGCTGAAAAAGCAAGAGGAAGGTGAGGTTGAACTGAACAATCTGGGAAAGGTAAGAGAATAGTGAAGGGACGTTGCACAGGAGCGGTGCACACAGTATACGTATAAAATCTGGCGGTGGTGTAGTCAGTCGTAGCAGTCACTGTAGAGCAGTCGGCTGCCACGCTAGAGAGTTTTTTGGACTGTTGAAGAGCCTGGGTCAGCCTGGTGCATTTTAAACCACAGCGGCCGTGTGTGGTCTGTGAATGCCTTCGTGCAAGATTCTGGACTGGTTTGAGTATGCTGTTCATACCTCCCCTCTTCCCTTGCTGTGTAGCTGAGGTCCTGCTCTGTGGCTGCTGCCTGTGTGCTGAATTGGCCCTGGGCAGGACAGATCTGTAAAAAGTGAATTTCTGTCTTGCTTGTGATGAACCCTGTGTTTTACACCTACTGATGCAGATGCTGCTGCTGCTCCTCCTCCCCACCCCGAAGCCCCTGCAAAAGTACAGAGTGTAGAGGACTTTGTTCCTGACGATCGCCTGGACCACAGCTTTCTAGAAGACCCAGCCCCGCAGAAGGACAAAGGGAAACCGCAGACCAAACACCGTGTCGACAGTGAGAGGTAAGGAAAGGAGGATGGAGGGAGGGTGAGACAGGGGTGTATCTGGATGTGCAGGCTGCATGGGGGCTCAGGCCTGGCTAACCTGTTGTGGCTGTTCAGAAAGTGATTGCAGAGCAGTTAGCTGCCCCTGAGCCTTTCAGCCGTGGTACAGTCAGCTGTAGCGTTCACTGTCTCCCGTTTGATGGCTCACACGGCTCCCTGGGAGTGAGGAGCAGCACTGACAGCTAGTTATCACCTTCCTGCTTTTGCTGTCTTGCTTTCATGCTCAGCGTTAAACTACTGGGTTGCTTTGGGTGAGGAAGGGATTTCTCTTCTGGCCAAATGTGCTAAAACATTTGGGATGTTTTCCTTCTGGAACACAATGCACTTTGTAGGGATATTATGTTTTGCCTAATGAATACCTTCCCACTGGAGAGGCCCAAAGCATGGCCAAGCTCCTTCATGGCCTGGTACTGCCATTCCTGAGGCACTATAAAGGGTTTGTGTTTGTTGGTGGATACCTGGGGACGTTCTGTGGCTCAATGGGATTTTGGAAGGAAGGATGGAGAGAGTGGTGCTCCCTTGGGAATGTCACTGCATGCTTGTCTGCAGATTCCAGAAACACCTCAGAGGCTGCCTGTCTTTTTCTCTGTCCATTTCTAATGTTCCTTCCCAGCATTTTCTCACTAAATTGGAGAGGTATGGATGTGATGGATGGACTGTTCAGTGGATAAGGAATTGTCTGGATGGTTGCATGCAGAGAGTAGTGGTCAGCGGCTCAACATCCAGGTGGAGATCAGTGCCAAGTTGTGTCCCTCAGGGGTCTGTACTGGGACCAGTGCTGTATAATATCTTCATCAACGTCAGAGACAGTGGAATCAAGTGCACCCTCAGCAAATTTGCAGATGACACCAAGCTGACTGGTGTGTTTGACACGCCTGAGGGACGGGATGGGATCCAGAGGGACCTGGGCAAGTTCAAGAAGCGGGCCTGTGGGAACTTCCTTCCTTCCCCAGGCCAGGTCCTGCACCTGGGTTGGGCCAACCCCTGGTATCAGTACGGGCTGGGGGAGAGTGAATTGAGAGCAGCCCTGAGGAGAAGGACTTGGGGGTGTTGGGTGATGAGAAACTGAACATGGGCTGGCAGTGTGCAATCACTGCCAAGAAGGCCACCCGTGTCCTGGGGGCATCCCCAGCAGCGTGAGCAGCAGGGCAAGGGAGGGGATTGTCCCCCTCTGCTCCGCTCTGGTGAGACCCCCCCTGGGGTGCTGCCCCCAGCTCTGGGGTCCTCAGCACAGGACAGACACGGAGCTGCTGGAGCGGGGCCAGAGGAGCCCCGGAGATGGGCCGAGGCTGGAGCAGCTCCCGTGCGAGGACAGGCTGAGAGAGTTGGGGGTGTGCAGCCTGGAGAAGAGAAGGCTCCGGGGAGACCTTCCAGCAGCTTCCAGTGCTGAAAGGGGGCTACAGGAGAGATGGGGGGGCTCTGGATCAGGGGGTGCAGGGACAGGACGAGGGGGAACAGTTTTAAGCTGAAAGAGGGCAGATTCAGGCTAGCTATAATGAAAAGATTTTTTTCCTGTGAGGGTGATGAAATACTGGAACAGGTTGCCCAGAGAGGTGGTGCAGACCCCGTCCCTGGAAACATTCAAAGTCAGGTTGGACAGTGCTCTGATGGCCCCGTTCACCTTTAAAGGTACCTTCCAACCCAAACTGTGCTATGAGTTTATCCTCCAAATGGCAGAGAGCTGTGCTTATGGTGTAGACTGGATTTTCTTTCTTCCTTTTTTTCTTTTTTTTTTTTTTTTCTTTTCCTGGCTTTGATGTTTTTTATATAAAAAAAGGGAAAAAGGATTGTGCATACTGAGCTGCTGAGCCAAGAGGATGTGCAGCAAGGCTGTCTGAAAGTAGACTGTCACTGAAGTTGTGACCTAAGGATGATCACAGGCTCTGCATCCCTCTGCTTAGAGCGGTCCTTGCCTGCTGCCTCTAGTCACCAGCACTGGGTTAACCAGGAGAATAATTAAACACTGATACAGCTCACCTATGAATGTGGTGTCTTTTGACATCTTTGATGATGATTCAGCGTTGTCTAGTTCAACCATGACAACTTGAAATCAACGCTGTGTGTGAGGCTCAATGCCTGTCTAATGCAGGTCAGCCTGAATCATCATCCCTTGTGATGGCAGAACACGTGGATGTTTTATTTAAAAAAAAAATAAGAAAAATAAGAAAAATAAGAAAAAGTCATGGTTGCTAGAAGCGTGCTGGCCTACAAAGTGTCTTGCTCGCAGCTGTGGCTGAGCTGGGATATTTTTCTGTGTTTAACAAGGAAATATCAGGAGAGCCAAGCCTGACCTTCCTGGGGTTTGCGGGAGGACTGGCTCCTGGAGTGCCCTTAGAGCCCTTCAGCTGCAGTCCTTGCTGTGGGTAGGAGGCTGGATCTTTAACAGAGGTTTCTCTTCTTCAGAACGTCCATCATTGGGAGCAAATAGGTGTTAAACTATACAAAAAGCCAAACATCTCGAAGCCCTGCTCCTTGGTTGTAAAGTTGTCATGTTCTTGGCTGCTAGGGTGCCCTTCTGTGTTCAGTCCCCAGTCTGGGAACCCTCCGGTGCACGTGAGCTGGTGGGACAGAAAGAGAGACACCATTGGGCTGTCAGAGAGCACAGGGGACACTTGTTCACAGCTTCATCCTTTGATGATGGTGGTAACCATCTGCAGTTAGGACAGCTCTGCTTCCCCAGCAGACCTTGCAGTGCATCCCTGCAAATTCAGGTGCTCAGTGTTTCTCTGCGGCTTGGCATCCATGTCTTGCTCTGGCTTCTTATGTAGTTCACACAGTTTTCTCAGTGGTCTGGCAGTTCTGCCTTCTGTTTCTTGCCAAAAAGGGCCTAAACCAGATGTGCTGAAATTCAGAGATGTAGTATGTGATTCTATCACCTGCAATAATTTATTTCCTTCAAAATGCCAATTACAACTCCATGATGCCTAGGAGCAGTGTAAGAGTTCTGGGAGCACCAATGCTAATAATCAGCTTCTACTGCAGTGGGTAGGTTGTTGTAGTTGCAACAAAATCTATTGCTGTAGAAATTTATCTCTGACCTAAAGAAAACAAAAGTTCTTCTATGAAGCCATTCAAACCTAATGGAGATTTTATTGAGTTTACAAAAATGAAATAGTGGAAGCTGGTTTCCCCTTGCATCTGAGTGAGGAGCAAAGCCTGAGAACGTACTAGAGAGAGGTGTTCAGGTCTCCTGAACATTTTTAAGCAGGTATCTCAATGTTAAGCTTACACAGCTTGCCAGCATTTCTTCCAGGTGTGCTGTATCCAAGTGTAAGCTCCAAAACTGAAGAGCCGTTGAAGACGTGGCAGAAGAATGGGTTGTGTGTTGAGAATTTGTGAAGTTATTTCTCTCACCCAAATAAGAGGAACTGCCTGGCTGTCTGTAGGCAAGAGTCTTGCAGGTAACTCGTGTGAGAATGCCTTGGTGCACAAAGCATTTCATGTGTGAAGCAGACATCGTCACATTCACAGAATCACAGAACAGCTGAGGTTGGAAGGCACCTCTGGAGGTCATCTGGTCCAACCTGGTCCATCTGGTCCCCAACCTCCACCAAAAGTGCATCTTCCTTGCTTCACATTATCCCCCTGGTCTCTGGCACCTGGGATTCCTGAAGGCTGGTGCAGACTGGGGCAAAGAAAGCATTCAGTACTTTGGCCTTTTCTATGGCCTGTGTAGCCAGTCCCGCTACTCGCTGAGCAGTGTGCCGCATTTCCTTTTGTCACCTGTGTACTTAGAGAAGCCCTTCTTCATGTCCTTGACATCCCTGGCCAGATTCAGTTCCTTTTGGGCTTTAGCTTTCCTGATTTCATCCCTGGGTGCTTGAGCGATGTCTCTGTATTCGTCCCGTCCTTGCAGCCACCCCTTGTATGCTCCCTTTTTCTGTTCGAGTTTGTCCAGGAGCTCCTTGTTCATCCAAACAGTTCTCCTAACATTTTTCCTGACTTCCTGTCGTTTGGGATGGACCACTGTTGAGCTCAGAGGAGGTGATCCTTGAATATTAACTAGCTTTCTTGGGCCCTTCTTCCCTTTAGGGCCTTATCCCTTGGAACTCCTCCAGGCAGATGTTTGAGGAGGTCAAAGTCTGAAGTCCAGCTTGCTTTTTACCCTCCTCCCTGCTCTCCGGATCCTGAACACCACAAAGGCTGCCTGTGACCTTCAGATTCCAAACAAGTCCCACCTTTTTTGTAGGTATGAGGTCCATCCAGTGGAGCACCTCTCCTTGTTGGCTCCTCTATCACTTGGATGGGGAAGTTATCATCAGTGCACTCCAGGAACCCCCTGGGTGGCGTACATCCTGCTGTCTTGTCCCTCCAGCAGATGCGGGGGTGGTTGAAGTCCACGAGGACCAGGGCCTGCGACCATGAGGCTTCTCCTATCTTTTTGTAGAGGACCTGAGCCTCTTGTTCCTGCCAGCTGGGCAGCCTGTAGGAGTCACCCACTGCAGTGTCACCTTTACCTGTGTTCTCTTGAACCCTACCCATAAGGTCTCACATGGTCTCATCCATCCCCAGGCAGAGCTCCGTGCACCCCAGCTGCTCTCATATAGAGGACACCTCCTCGGCAGGAAGAGGGGAAGGTGGTGTTCTCATTCTTGGAAGCAGGACGGTACGCTGTGTAACTGAGCTGCTGCCTGAACTCAGGGATGTGTTTGCTTCCGTTTGTAAAAACTTGTTTGCTTTTCTTTCCTGAGCTTCAGAGAGATGGTTGCAAAGTCTGGTATTTCTCATTCATTTTAGTGACACACAGAATTATTGGGTTTTTTGCAGTGATGTCGTGTGAACTTCTCCCATTTCCTACTCCGTAATGTCTCTGAACCATGGTGCAAGAGTTGATGTGGATAGAAGAAAACGCCTTTTTTTTTTTTTTTTTTTTTCCCTTTTCCTGAAGCATGGTAGCAGTGAGGAGTGCGCTCACGCCTGTGGAACAAGGCTGCTCTTGCCCGAAGATCAGACAGCTGCCGAGACCTTCAGCACTTACTGCTGTCTCTTGGTGTAGCTAAATCTCGGCACAGATCTATGGAGATTAATGGAGTCCTGGGTTTTGTTTAAGGCTGTGTTACGGTTCTCTGGCTTGCAATAAAGAGAACTCCCAAAATCAGTTTCTTTAGTGGTTAATTAGGAAGGTAGTTCAATCTCCCAGTCTGCTGTTTCAGAACTCAATTGCTGCTCTTTAGCCTGACACACTGAGCCAGCGACTGCACTGGAGAAGCTAACCTGGCTGCAGGTGGGCTCCGCTCCTCCCTGCTGTAGAGGGAGGGCTCTGCATGGGGGGCTGGAGGTGTCTGAAAGCGAGTTTCTGCTGTACCTAGCAGTATTCCTGATCTGTCTTCTCCGCATCACCAGGAGTTTACCTTAAATGTTGATTAGATTTCCCTGTCCTTCCATCTGAAGAGCTTTGATTGGGTTCTTTGCTCCTATGGTGTCTGTTGTCTGTGGTGGTCCCCAGCTGCGCTAGACCAGCTGAGGGGAGCTGAGGACACTGTTCGGTTCATACCAGAAGACCCCAGTCTCCTGGAAAACAGTGACGCAGGCTCATCCTGTGGTGTGTGACTCCCTCAGCTTACCTGCCTTATTAGAGCTCGGGTTTGTTCCTCTTTCTCTAGCCCCAAAAACTGATGTGCAAAAGGATCCTGGTGGGTGCCCGCAGGGCTGGCTCTGCTGGCCACACGGCAGGGCTGGTGGAACACCATCCATCCGGGTTTGAGACCACGTGCTGGGGTTGCAGCAGGATTTGGTTCATTACCAGCAGCAGTTCTGTGTACACGATGGAGGGCTCGCTGAGGAACCCCCGACGCGCTCTTTGGTTAGTAGCTCAGACGCAGACCTCGGCGAGCGCCGTGGGTTTTGGTGGGTACCTGTGCCTGTCAGCACGGTGGCTCAGCGCTAACGCAGCCTTGGCAGCACGTCAGGCGTTGGAGAGAGCGGTGCAATGTGCTTGTTTTTGCATGCTCTGAATTCCTTCCAGCTGGAACCTCAGGACCGCAAGCTGATACTAACTTTGCATTGTCAG